AACAGGAATTTGGCTCAATATATAATGGACTATCATCAGTAAATAGCCTTCCTTTTGTGGGAATTTCCTTGCCAAGAATTACTTCTCATATAAATTACGTAGTGCATTTGCATCAAAATCCACAATTTTCTTTTCTCTTCCCCTCTCTTTTGGTTTGTACATTTTATGTGTAAGAGCCATGATAGTGGGGCACACGATAGTGTAGTTGGTTGAGGCACTGTGCTACAACAGGCTGGGAGGTCATGGGTTCAGTTTCCAGTGAGGTCACTGGATTTTTCAATTGACCTAATTCTTCCAGCTGCACTATATCCCTGGGGTTGACTGCCCCTAACAGAAATGAGTACCAGGAATCTTCCTGGGGATAGAGAGTGGCCAGCGTGTATGGCTTAGAACCTCACCACCATCTGTGAGCCGATTGTCTAGAAAATGTGGGAACCTTGATGTCTCACAACCCTGTGTGTCTCCATGGCCTGTTATAAGGATAGCTTTACTTATTTTTAAGAGTCAGGATAGCTCAGTGAGTATAGCGACAGGGCTGCAGACAGACTTGATGAGCAAAGAATCAGGATTTGATTTCTGACTGGGGCAAGATATTTTTCTCTTTTATTAATTCAGTGTACAGTGATCCTGTATGCACAAAGGAAAATAAATATTTTGACTTCTATTCAGCAGCTAGATCAGTTACAGAATTCAAATGTTCCATGCTTTTCTGGCAGTAAAGAAGTTTTATTAGTTGCAAAAAGATTGTGCCTTTCGACTGTTATGTGTTGTGGTGTGTACTGTGTGAAAACATAGGAGTGATTGACAAAGGCTCTATGACATATTTCTGATAGTTTTTGACAGGACATATGTTATCTACATATGTGAACTCACTGCAGTTAAAGATTAGTTTTCTACAATTTCACAGTCCGTCCACATCCAACATAATGACATGCTCTGAGTATTTATGTCATATGTTTCAACAGGAACAGCTCCAGGATGAGCAAAGTAGTTGAAATATTGACGTGAGAAAAGTGATAACTTATGATGAAGGTAAATGTGGCTAACATTATGGCTGTCAAGTCTTTTGACTTGTTAGTTACTTTATTATTGTATTTGTTATATAAAATGAAGGGGGCATGCGGTAGCGTAGTTGGTTGAGGCACTATGCTACAAGCCGGAAGGTCACGGGATCGAATCCCGATGAGGCCATTGAATTTTTTTCAATTGATCTAATCCTTCCAGCCACACTATGGCCCTGGGGTTGACTCAGCCTCTAACAGAAATGAGTACCAGGAATATTCTTGGGGGTAAAGGGCGACTGGCGCGTAGGACTGACAACCTTACCGCCATCTATGAGCCGATTGTCTAGAAAATGTGGGAACCTCAATGTCTCACAACCCTATTGGCCTCCGAGGCCTGTTACGGGGATACCTTTACTTTACTTTACTTTTTTTATGTAAGAGGAGCAATAAGAATACAAATAACAACAACGATGATAATAATAATAATAATAATAATAATAATAATAATAATAACAACAACAACAACAATTCAGTTCAACTATTCGAGTTGTGCTAAAAGCAGTGGCCGNGAGTCCTGTATCTTGTAACTAAGGATGTTTCAAGTTTTAAGGAACTTATCATGGCGAAAATTATTATTTGCAATATTTGTAACCTTGCCATCGAATTATTTTGAGGACATAGGGACGGAGCATTTTTCAGAGGATCTGTCTTTATAGTCAACAAACTTTCTAAGTTCCATCGCAATGTAAGAGTTTGTTGACTGGGGTGGAATAATTCCTCCGCCAGTGCTACAGTGGCCTATTCCATTCCTGTAAAAACAGTGAGGTCTATGTTCAGGACTTCTACAAAAGAATTGTAAACATGCAAACTTAAGCTCATTTAAAATTCTTTATTGGAGTCTGTCGTAACACAATATAACGGTCAAGGTTAAAATTACCTTAGCTACATGTTTTGGCTTTTAAAGCCATCATCAGGCAAAACACATGATTACCATATTCACGCACTATTGAACTGCAACACTAATATATATTTTAAAAAGAAGTGCTTAGCTGAGAACTTGACACCAAAATATGCAATGTTGTTGTGTTACGATAGACTCCAATAAAGAATTGTATATAATAACACAACAGGATGCATGAAATGAAAATTATAAATGCCAGTCAAGCAAGCAGTATTTATGAATACGTGAACACTAAGCTAAACTATTGAACTGCAACACTAATATATATTTTAAAAAGAAGTGCTTAGCTGAGAACTTGACACCAAAATATGCAATGTTGTTGTGTTACGATAGACTCCAATAAAGAATTGTATATAATAACACAACAGGATGCACAAAATGAAAATTAAGCTCATTTGTTGTAAGTTCTCTAAGAAGGTTTTCCTTCCTTTTTGCCCTTTTTTTTAATCTTGCAAAATATGTAAATATGGATGTGGTTTCAAATTTCATGATTGTAGACCATGTCAAATTCAAGGAATTTGAGAGTTGTTAGAAGCATATAAGATGACAAGGAAGATAATTATTGCATTTCTGTATGCTGTTATCTGGCACCATTTTGCTTCGGCCTTACAAAATTGTTATCTAATTCTGAAGGACTCTGATAATAATGTATTAACACTTGGTATTGCAATTTTTAAAAATGGAATGTAATGTTTGGGAGTTGCTTCTGCTCCTATCCTCTGAAACCAGTGTCGTCACTTGTATATAAGCTTTATAGAATATATGAAATATGCCATTTGCACTTCCTGGCGTATTGTAATGAAGATGTATTGTGGTGTCAGTATTCTTTACAGAAGCAGAGAATGTTGAAGTCTATTGAGACTAGACAGTGCCAGTTATTGTGCAACTGGTTTTGACCCATGGCTCACATATAACTGTTATGTTAGTTATTTGGGGAACAGATAATTTCTACAGGACTGTGGCCACCAGTCTCTTGCACTTGTCTCCAATAGGCTTTTTCTGCGGGTGTATGGAAACAGTCCACAAATCTTGGAGCCATTCAAAAACAATGAAAATTGCAATTTTTATGTTGGTCAATGTTGCTTTTTCGTGTGTATGGCAATATGGTTACTGGGCCAGTGCACATTGTAATTATGTTTGTGATCTTGGTGAAGATAATGTGTAAGGGTAGAGGTATGGGAAAACTTATCCCTGTTCTTAATTATGTAATGAAGCATTATGCCATGAATGCATGTAGGGGAGTGGAGGTTGAGCTCCACCATTCTTGAGCTCAGCACTGGGTGGAGGTTAGTGGTCAACTTCATGTCCCTGCTGCTTTACCTCAAGGGATTCCTGGTACCCATCAGGTAGGAGTCTTGATGGGCCCCAGAGCTAGTCTTGATTCTATGGAGAAGAGAAAAATTTCTTGCCCATGCTGAAAATTGAGCCCTGGTTGTCCAGCCCATAGCCTAGTCACTACATCTACTAAGCTAAACTACAGAAAGTAATAAAACAGTGAAGAGTGCTGTCTTCTGGCATCTGATGCTGTGTAGTCTAGTAGAAGTTTACTGGCATTTTGGAGGAATGTACTGTCTCCATCTTCAGGTTCAAAGAGTAAGCTTAGCAAGCTAATTAGCGTGGTTTTACTTGCTGCTGGCTTGCATGGTTTATACTTTGACCCTGAAGATGGAGACACGTGTTCTTACAGAACATAACGAATCTTCTACCAGAGCAGATGGTGTCACACTCCAGAAGATAGCACTGTTCCATAGTCACTGAAGTAAAACCACAAATCTAATATAATAGCACAGTATTTGTGTATGATGAAGGTCACAGGTTCAGTTCCCTGTGAGGTCATTGGATTTTTCAATTGATCTAATCCTTCTAGCCACACTGTGGCCCCAGCGTCGACTCAGCCTCTAACAGAAATGGTACCAGGAATCTTCCTGATTGTAAAGGGGGGCTGCTACATAAGGCTGACAACCTCAGTACCGTCTGTGAGCTGATTGTCAGAAATTGTGGGAGCCATGATATCTCACAGTCCTATGGGCCTCCATGTCCTGTTACTGAAATAGCTTTACCTTTTACCTCAAACTGGTGGAATATTTGCTTAAATGTTGTCTTGTAAATTGTCTCAGCTATTCTTTACCCATTTTATAAACATTTTATGACTTTTGGTTAGTATCACTATATGGAGATTGTATGAGACAGGAAATAGGACATTAGGATCCAATACAAACTTTTACATATGGCTTTTAGTTGAAATGACCTTGTCTGCAGTTTTATCATACTTTGTGTTCATTGAATTTTTATATGTAATGCGCGTTGAGTGTCAGCTTTGGTGAAACTGGGTTGGCTTCTAGTCATGCCTTCTGCCGTGGTGTCTCTCTGTGTATGAATGCTTGCCTTCTCCAAATGGGACAGACTAGGGTGTGTTGTGACCTCATTTGACACAGGTTCCCAGTAGGCAATGTCTGTTTCTACATAAATGAACAAATTATCAGGACCATTACTGAAACAGCTGCTTTAATGCTGTTGATACATTCTGCAGAATTTAGGAATATTAAAAGCTGTAAGTTAGCAATAATATGTTGGTGAGAGCATTCTACTATTGTTGTATAAATTAGACTTGTTTGTATTTGACAGGTTTAGGAGAATTAATGATATTTTGGAATTTGGGGTTTGATTATCAGGTAGATTTATTAATGAAAGGTAGTGATCAAAAAAATGTAAAATATCTGTAAAGAAATCAGCAGGACCTGACGAATTGTTGAGATTTTACAATATAGAAACCACCTAGTCTTTTACCAGCTGGTTTTCTGGTAGTAGACTGGTTTACATGTCTTTATGGTTGTTGGAAGATCTAATGAAATCTTGGTTAGAGTTGGACCTCTTAAGTGGTGGTGCAGGACACTAAATATTCCTTTGCTTTCAGTATGGGGTTATTCCCAATGTTTTATTGAGGCACAACAAGGTTTTGCAAGGCTGGGACAAGCTAATTGCTGTGTCAGGCCTGTTACAGCACTTTCTTTAAATGATATGCGTTATTGTTACAGTTTACGTGCCGAGCGGTCTCGGGCGACGCCAGGGGGGGCGCTAGTGCAGGACCCTACGACCCACGGCAGCAGGTTAGACTGACAAAATCTGACTTAATGCTGCTAGGTGTTAGGTAATAATTTTTTGCTTGGAATAGAAGGCATAACACCGCATACAGTTTGCATGTTCAGTAAAATTTTGTGTAAATATTAAATTAGGTTACAGTCTTCAAAAATATGTTACATATTTCTATAAATCATGCTTTTTTTGGTACTGACACAAAGCATGTCGTATTTGTAACAAAACTATAGAAATTGTGACTTCTTTAAAATGGTGTTAGGTTGTCTTCAATACCCGTAAAGTGAAACCAGGGTTGACGTATTGTGGACATGACAGAGGGGATTGTTTCATATAAGAACCTTTTATGCTTCTGTACCAGTCTTCTTTCATTGTTTAACAGCTTCCAGTTTTAATGGGTGTGTTTTAACCTGTTGTTTCAGATATGCCACTTGTAGCTAAAGTATGTGTAGTCCATGGATTCTCATCATTAGGATGTGGAACAGATTAATACACAGTAACCACACTGTTTAAGGACCTCTCACTTTCTGAAACCTTGTGTAGTCTTCAGTTTTGTTCCATTGTTACATTACTTTGTGTGTATGTTTTTCAAGTGTTGTCAGGGCTTTCTATGAGAACTCTGAAGGACACGGCTACAGTCGCAATAAGATGACGTGTCAAGACTGGCATGGAAATTATCCAGCTACATCAAGAGCAACAGACTCTTCAGTTTTAGAGGAATTTTCTCATATTTTAATTTTGTTTTATGATGTGCTCCAACTATTCTGAGAAAAGGTCATTTTTGTAAGTTGTGAGCACCTCTGAAGTCTTTGGCTGCAGAACATATCTTTCAGCTCTGAATGATCTTAGCTGTAGATGTAAAAGCATTGGTATTTATTTGTAAGCCATACTTGCCCTCTTTTGTAACTGCTGGTCTTTAGTTAAGCATACTTAGGGGGAGGTCTTTATTATGATGGGATCACTTGAAGGAGTGTGGTAACAAATTGAAAGACCTATATTCTGGAAATGTGGAAAGGTCCAGTGGTTTTCTGTCATGGTATATGAACGGGTTTTAGAGCTGGAATGGCAAAAATTACATTTTTCTATCAACTTACAGGCAACAATTAATTGACTTCAGATATTAAGGGGCATCAGGTTCCTGAAACGCTAGTATACTTGATTGTTTCTGTTCATGTCATGTTTTTATGTATATTAGCTCAAGCCTTGACTACTGTTATCCAGTATGGACTTATATGGAAGTCCATTTTGAGGCACATTAACACTTTGCGGACCAGCAACTGAAATATTTAAATCACTCTGGGGACCGGCATTTTTATACCTACTACCCTAACTTGTGCACTGTTCACTTTAAAAATTGATATAAAATCTAATTAATTTTATGAACCAAAATTTTTGGAGAACCTTTACCAATGCTCCTAGAAGTGCTTGAGAATGTGATATTTCTGGAAACATTCCCCTTTGTGAAGTGGCATTACACACTTGCAAATGTAGACAGTCATAGGCCTTTTTTTGTGAACTGCGCAAACACGGCATTGCCTAGAAGGATGCTTCCCCTTGGAATGTTCACTCTTCACAATTTTCAGGAGGGTATGTTTCCCCATATCACCTGAGAGTCNTAAGCCACAAGGCAACTTTCACTTTTATTATCTGTGGCCACAATTCTTTGTTGACCCCTGTCACTTCCACTGTGTGAGTCACTAATCACTACTCCTTCACAAGGCAGTCAGATAGCTCATCTGAAAACAAGTCAGAGAGATCGCTTTGCCTTCAACCACTTTTGTCCTTGAAACATATTCCCCTCTACTAACTTCTTGCCTGGTACATAAACAGCTGGAAGGGGCAAAGTTTATTTTCTTTTGGAGTAGGGACCCTAGCCAGCCAGGTCAAGTTACTGTAGCATACATTCTGAAGATTTATTATGCAGTATTCATTGCAGTTGCATGGCTCCAGAGCAAGGTATAGTGTGTTACAACCTAATGTGTCCTAAAAGCCTGATATCATGCGACCGGTCCGCCAGGTTTAAGTGAAAAGCCTGATATCATGCGTCTGGCCCGCAAAGTGTTAAAATTAATACCCCTATTAATGCAATTACCTAAAATGTTGTAAAGATATTGTTTAAGAGGCGTGTTCTTGGTACCCTGCAGAAATGGAACTTGAACACACATGAATGCAGGAGTAGCTTTCACGTACACTGTAGAGCCTCAACATTCATGTGAATTAAGATTAAGAGAGTCAAATTTAGGCTGTTTGTGTCTGTATAGAAGGTTAATTAAAATCCTCAACAAAGCAAAGTGAACTTATTGTGTAGGGATTATATATTTATTGCCTGTACACCTAATGTTTTATTTATCACATGTATTCTTAAATCCACAGGTAGGAAGCCCCTTATATGAGCTGGGCTGGTCTTATTCACTTGGCAAATGTGAATTTGCGTATTGTGTAGTATAACAGTATAACAGTAGTATAACAGTGTGTAAGCTTGATATTGGATGTGGGAGTAGCATGTGAAAGGATATCATTTTTATGGTATTTTGTTAGATTTGAGTTTCTCATGGTGCTGTGACATTGTAATCTGGTAGAAGTTTACCAGCATTTTAGGGGAATATACTTCCTCCATCTTCAGGGTGTGCTTTCTTGGCTTTTGTTTGGTCCTCAATATGGTAACATTACATTCTTCTGAAACACTGGTAAACTTCGACCAGACAATACGGCTTCAGGTCCAGATGAGACTGCTCCACAGTGAAATTGTGTTTTGGGGTCTCGGGAACATGTTTCATATTGTAGCATGTATAGCCGTTACTGGGGCAACAACGAAACAACATTTACTCCTGCATCAGGTGCTTAATAAGGAAGTATATACAGTTGTTACTGGATAATGCCTTCACAAACAAATCCATTCCCACTGAGTACAGCAATGAAGGGTGTTTCCTGCATGGGCCTTGCTGAGAAGTTGTAACAAAGTGAGTTGTCAGTAGTCAGTTGTGAAGAGAAGACTTGGTTGGTGCAGTTGAAGAATCCTCACTGTTAGAAGCCTTTACCAGGGAATGACTGGTGAAGACACAGCAGACTGAAAAGACTTAGTGTGTGCTGTAGTGATTTGTTAAGCGTGGAAATCAGTGATGACACTGTAATTATTTGTAGTCATTAGTCGTGTGTTAAAGTGGTCAATAAATGCAATCTCCAATCCAAAACCCTTTAGATGGTCCCTGAGCCACATGCCAAAGTTGTCAGTATATAGATCTCCAGTTTTTGTTTATTGTTCTGATAATTATTTGAGCACATGATATTTCTTTATTTGAAAAATGTTAACCCAAGAAGAGATGATCAGTTTTAGTTATTCCTGTGATAACTGATATCCTTCCTTTTACATGATGATATGCTACATGCACTAGAAGAGTATTTGTATGGCTGTTGAGTTGTGGGTTGAGCATTTTAATTGCATAAATTGTTTTTTCCACTTAAACCTCTTGTCAGTTAGAGACACTTGATTCAGTTATTTGTATACCATTTTCACAGTTTGAAGAAATGTCAAAAGTTTTAGTTTAAAGGAGGCACAGCACTAGACATTCTAAGGTTAATAGTTCCGCCTACTGCTGGGATATCTTGTAGTGGATAGTGAACCAACTTGTAAAGCACCATGCATGATGATTTACATCAGATGGAGTTGATCTAGTGGTAGTGCTCTGACTTGTATGTGGGATGTGCTTGCTTCTGATTCCAGCCGGGATGCCAGCATTCATGACTGAGGCTTTCTTGGTTTTCCTCAATCCCTCCAGATAAATGCTGGGATGGTGCCTCGATTAGGCTATGGCCACTTTGTTCCAAATCCTTCTTAATTAATCATTGTATTAGTATAGTATTAGTATTTATTCGGTATTCCAGACATCCACAAGATGGATACAGGACTTGTCCTCACTCAGTACATACAGACCAATTACAAAAGTTGTTTACATGGAACATTACAAGAGTATAAAATATAAATAGTTAAGACCTTGGATTACATAAATAAAAAGTCAGAAACATGTCATTTAAGAACAGTCATATTAAATAAGAAATCCACAATAAACAAATAATTATGAGTCACAAATAGTAAATAAATCTTTCAGATTACTGAAAATAAGATTAATTATTAATTAAGATTAATTATTATTATTTATTTCATCCATAGCTGTAGAGAATTACAATTTGACATGTCAACCATCAACATCATCACATCAAAAATAACATAAGTAAAAAAAAAAATAACATAACATTCACACAGTGACTCATGACTATAATACAGCAATACATTTTTAACTTAATTTAAGAATAATAAATACTCCAAAAAAAGACATAAGAATAAATATTTTAAACATATAGACAGATTTATTAACAAGCAGTTTACAAAAATTAATAATAATAAATACTCCAAAAAAAGGCATAAAAATATACAGACAGATTTATCTACAAAACGGTCCATGTCAACAATTATTAAAAAATTCTTGAAGAGAATAGAAGACAATGAAGAAAGCGGTCTTCTGGGATTTGGCACCATGTATATGTGGTGTTAACCGACCGGTTAAAGACAGCCTGGGCCTAAGGACACCGGCTGTATACAGTATCCCATGCGAGTGCGGAAAGGTCTGTATTGGGTAGACAGGCTGCTCTGTGGACATGAGGTTGAAGGAGCATCAGTGGCACATCCGTCTCGAACAACCGGACAAGTCGGCCGTAGCTGAACGCAGCATCGATCTGGTACACCGCATTCAGCTTCAGAACACCTCCATCCTCGCCACCAAGACCCACTATATGGATTGCATCGTTAGGGAGGCAATTGAGATTGAACTGCATCCAGAAAATATGAACAGAGAAAAGGGGGGTTTTGTCTCAGCAAGTCTTGGAAGCCTCTCATCTGTTCTCTTAAAAACCCCCACCGGGATATGACGCCAGATCCAGAGGGCCACACAGGCCATGACCAACCAACATAACAACCCCCCCCCTCAGCGGGTTAGTGCCCAGCCTTTGACCTTGCCTT